CCGGTTCTTAACTTTCTAAGAGGTTCAGAGAACCGGTTGTTGGAAGAAATCTCATATTTTTTCCCCACTTTACAGGGCTAAACTTATAAGGAAGGCAGGAAGGAAACATTCTAGTGTTTCTAGCCTAATCTTTATTGCCCTGCTTACAGAAACTGCCTTTCCATTTAACCCTTATTACATTGTCACAGCTAAGGCAAAGCGCCCATCGATCTGAGTGATGTTGAGTTGGCCACGCCCACCCGGTCACATGACCACTGAGCCACGCCTACCCAGCTGGTCATTAGGGCAGAGAACCTAATGTTGTCTGGGGGCAGGAATGGGAGCTCACACCCGTTGCACAGTTCTCGGGTCTCGAACCCAGGCTGTCCATTTGTGTGAGAGGTAGGCACATGCACAAGCACGCACAGCTCTATTTGCATGAACAGTGAGCATGCATATGGGGCAAGGAATGGGAGCTGGGGCAAGAAATGGGAGCTCACACCCGTTGCACAGTTCTCGGGTCTCAAACCCAGGCTGTCAGTTTGTGTGAGAGGTAGGTGCAAGCATGCACAGCTCTATTTGCATGAACAGTGGGCACGCATATGATTCCAAATGGGCCCAGGATTGGTAGCGAGTCATGGCCCAGAGGTTGGGGGGGGGTCTCCTGATCTAAATAATCTTCAACATGTAGTGTTCAAAGTTGTCACTAGATGGCACCTCTATCATCCTGCAAAAAAAGTTATAGCCAAGTTTGGAGACCTAGAAAGTCTAGTAGAGTTAAGTCTCAGAATAACTCTGTTATTCTGTTCTATTCTAAATCACTAAGGCTTGAATTCAACTCCAAGATGACTTTCCTTTAGAAACAGCTTTGGTAAGAAAGGATACCATTTCCCCCCTTTTTGTTGCAGGTCAACACTTTCCAAGCTATCTTGGCCACGGATGAAGAAATATCCTTCATCATGCTGAACTATGCTGATATACAGTGGACCACTGGAACGGGAAACGGTGGAGATATCCACACAGGACTTGGAGGACTCCCCGCTCAGGTAGTTTTGGGGTAGCTTGAAGGCGCAACAAGAAATGCAGGATGATGTTTGCCCAGTTAATGCAACCTCCTTTAATCAAAATGGACAGTTGCAAAAAGTGACCTTCAATTCCAAAACCAAATCAGGGTAGAGTGGGACAATTCCCTTCTGTGATAGAATAATAGAATAACAGAGTTGGAAGGGACCCTGGAGGTCTTCTAGTCCAACCCCCTGCTTAAGCAGAAACCCTACACTACTTCAGACAAAAGGAAGAGACAGTCTCTTCTTAAACACTTCCAGTGTTGGAGCATTCACAACTTCTGGAGGCAAGTTGTTCCACTGATTAATTGTTCAACTGTCAACTGTCAGGAAATTTCTCCTTAGTTCTAGTTTGCTTCTATTCTTGATTAGCTTCCTTCTATCCATTGCTTCTTGTCCTACCTTCAGGTGCTTTGGAGAATAGTTTGACTCCCTCTTCTTTGTGGCAACCACTGAGATATTGGGACACTGCTATCATGTCTCCCCTAGTCCTTCTTTTCATCAAATTAGACATACCCAGTTCCTGCAACCGTTCTTCAAATGTTTTAGCCTCCAGTCCCCTAATTATCTTTGTCGCTCTTCTCTGCACTCTTTCTAGTATCTCCACATCTTTTTTACATCGTGGCAGAGAGATTCTATGCTCCCGTTAACACAGCGCAAAATAGTTCTGCCCGTTTAGAAGCTGCATTGTTTATTGTTCGTTTATTGGATTTATATGCCGCCCTTCTCCCAAGGATTCAGGGCGGCGTACAACATTAAAAAAAACCACATATTACAAAAGTTTTAAAAAATTAGATAGAGTATCCAAAAAAACAAACCCAATTAAGATTAACAATAACATTTAAAATAACATTCTATGGTCGATACCCAGACATGGAATTCAATGAGAAAGTTTGTTAGGGTGTTAATTAGAAAAGATGTCATTCTTTCCCCTTTTCTACCTCTTCCCCAGGCTGGCTTTGACAGTGGGGACCAAAAAAATTACTACAACATCCCTGGTTCCCGAACTCCTGGAATTCTCAATATTAAAGAGACAACCAATGTCGGTGAACAAGGTCGCTGGGTGTTTCAAGTGGATACAACAGTTACCGGAGTTCCCACAGCAAAAAGTGATTGCTTGTTTAAATAAGTAAGTGCCAGACCTTCTCTTTTATTTGCTAGTAGGATAGATATGTGACTAATTGGAGTGATGCAGTGGCCTAAAGGTGGTGCTGTCACCTCACAATCAGGAGGCTGCGAGTTCTATCCTAGGTAGAGGCAGTTATTTCTCTCTCTCTGGGCACACTGAGAATAGATCTGCTGAACAAATCTCCGCTATGGCAACAGGAAGGGAATCTGGCCATTAAAACACTGCTAGTTTCATTAAGTTGCCCAAACTCCACCTCGCAAAGGGATTATGGGGTCATTAAAAGAAATAGCAATAGCAATAGCAGTTAGACTTATATACCGCTTCATAGGGCTTTCGGCCCTCTCTAAGCGGTTTACTGAGTCAGCATTTCACCCCCCCGAGTCTGGGTCCTCATTTCACCCACCTCGGAAGGATGGAAGCCTGAGTCAACCTTGAGCCGGTGAGATTTGAACCGCCGAACTGCAGCTAGCAGTCAGCTGAAGTGGCTGCAGTACTGCACTCTAACCACTGTGCCACCTCGGCTCTATAATGATGATGGATATGTAAATAATTACTAGATCCATGGGCCCTTACTTATTTTGCTGTTGTCTCTTTTCATCAGGTGAAACCGCTTCCAATGCAGGCCATCTGCTTCTCCATGCCAGCTGGGACAAGTTGAACAGCATCTGCCATCTTTCTCAAATCCCTCTGCTACCCTCTTCCAACAAGAAAAAAGTTTTCTGGAGCTGCCAGTGACCGTAGATTTAGCAATAAATGATTGCACTCGCATAGGTGGTGTCTCCATTGTGGAGTGCAGGAAAGAAATGCACAATTGTTATATGTGTGAATACATCAGCCTGTGCATATATAAAGTGTGTGTGTGTGTGTGTTCGTGCATGTGTGCTCATGTGATGCTTTTAAGGGGACTGACGAGCCTAACACTCTATGAAGTTGGTTTCCTTCATGGGAGATGGGCGCACATGTAATATCCCAAAGCGTGGAAAATGTGATGTGGGTATCCACACCAATATGAATAGAATAGAACGACAGAGTTGGAAGGGACCTTGGAGGTCTTCTAGTCCAGCCCCCTGCTTAGGCAGGAAGCCCTACACCACTTCAGACAAATGATTATCCAACATCTTCTTAAAAACTTCCAGTGTTGAAACTTCCAGGGTCTCCATACACACATCGACTATTCAGTTCTTTATGCCAGAGGTGTCCAATCTTGGCCATTTTAAGATTCGTGGACTTCAGCTCCCAGAATTCCCCATCCAAGGCTCTTAAATTTGCCAAGGTTGCTTCAGGCAATGAGAACAGGCACATCTTAGGAAGATCAAACTGGGAATTCAATGTCATGTAGGTCAGTACTCTTATTGTAAAGCCTTAGTGACAATCAGACTGAATGTTTTCCTCTTCTCTCCCTTTGTCTTCATCAAACTAGAGGGGGGGACGGTCTCATCCAAAACATTTACGCCTTTCCTGGACTTGGTCCTCTTTTAGTTAACCGTTCTCTCAATAGTGACTGTTCCTCCTAAACCCGTGATGGCGAACCTCTGTCACATATGCCACAGGTGGCACACGGAGTCATATTTGTTGGCATGCACGTGCTGATTTTTGGCCTCCCGGTGTGCCAAAAGAGGCCCCTTTTCTCCCAACGCAGGCTTCAGGAAATCCTCCAGAGGCTGAGGAGGGTGAGAAATAGCCCCAATGGGTCAACAGGAAGTTCAGAAATTATTCATTTCCGCTTCCAGAGGGCCTCCGGGGCCCAGGGAAGGCCGTTTTCACCTTCCCCAAATTTCAAGAAAGCCTCCGGAGCCTGGGGAGGTCACGTGCACATGCGCAGGTGGGTGGGGAGGATTAAATTGGTGTGGGCACACACCCAATTTTGGCATGCCATAAGAAAAAGGCTTGCCATCATTGTCTTATACCATTGCGGCTGCCACCTACAATTTAGGAACAACGGCATCAACCCCAAATCAACTTACCAAGTCAACCAGAATCCTAACTATTTTTGTTTTGTTTTGTTTCAGTGGGGTATTTGAGTCAATTTTGATAGTTTGGATTGGCTGGACAAGACTATGATATTTTCTTGGCAACAATTTCAGAGGTGATTCACCATTGGTGAGATTCAAACTGCCAAATTGCAGGCAGCCGGCAGCCGGCAGAAGTAGCCTGAAGTACTGCACTCTAAACACTGCACCACCACGGCTCAGCCGACCCGCTCATAAAATGATATTTTAACCAGCAACAAAGAACATTGGCAAGATCTTTTACAGATGATCCTTTGCCCCTCCTTCGTCCATTAAAAGCCTTTATGTTCCCCTGATCAAAAACGTCCTTTAAAAAAAAAAAGTAAGGCTTCAAGATGCAGGAGGTGAATGCACTCCAGAATGGCTGCTATGAAAGAAAAGCAAGTCAGGACTGAATTCCTTCCTGTTTACAGTCGAGGGGAGGACATTGTTCAGCCCTGGCAGGAGACACATTCTGATAAACAACCACAATCTAAAAAAACAAATAACAAAAGCTTTAGCACCATTTTATGTGTGTCTGTGTGCATACATTCTCATTCCACAGCTCAAAACAGAACTCCTCAGCTTTCCAACAGCCTTTGGACTGATTCTATCTGCTTCTAGTAAGACTTTACACAGAGGTAGTATTCAGCTGGTTCTGAGCGGTTCTGGCCAACCGGTAATGGAAATTTTGAATAGTTCAGAGAGTCGGTAAATACCACCTCTGGCTGGCCCCACCCCCTTCTATTCTCTGCCTCCCAAGTCTTCTTTTGCCTTGCAAAGGAGAACGGAGCTAGAAAGCATGTTAGTGGGAAGCATGCTGGGAAGGCCGCTGCAAAAGGAGGGGGACAAGCACAGAGGGTGGACAGGAAGTTGGCCATGCTGGAAAGGTCACTGCAAAAGGAGGGGGGAAACCACAGAGGACAGACAGGAAGTTGTCCATGCTGGGAAGGTCACTGCAAAAGGAGGGGGACAACCACAGAGGACAGACAGGAAGTTGGCCATGCTGGGAAGATCACTGCAAAAGGAGGGGGACAACCACAGAGGACGGACAGGAGGTTGGCCATGCTGGGAAGTTCACTTCAAAAGGAGGGGGACAACCACAGAGGGCGGACAGGAAGTTGGCCATGCTGGGAAGGTCACTGCAAAAGGAGGGGGACAACCACAGAGGGCGGACAGGAAGTTGGCCATGCTGGGAAGGTCACTGCAAAAGGAGGGGGACAACCACAGAGGGCGGACAGGAAGTTGGCCATGCGGGGAAGATCACTGCAAAAGAAGGGGGACAACCACAAAGGACGGACAGGAGGTTGGCCATGCTGGGAAGATCACTGCAAAAGGAGGGGGACAACCACAGAGGGCGGACAGGAAGTTGGCCATGCGGGGAAGATCACTGCAAAAGAAGGGGGACAACCACAAAGGACGGACAGGAGGTTGGCCATGCTGGGAAGATCACTGCAAAAGGAGGGGGACAACCACAGAGGGCGGACAGGAAGTTGGCCATGCGGGGAAGATCACTGCAAAAGAAGGGGGACAACCACAAAGGACGGACAGGAGGTTGGCCATGCTGGGAAGATCACTGCAAAAGGAGGGGGACAACCACAGAGGGCG